TTAGAGTACTTGCATGATTTTAAGAGTTATGAAAACTCCTCCTGAGCAAGAGATCCTATCTCTACTAAAAATAGACAAACTAGCTGGGTGTTGTGGTGGGCACCTATATAGTCCCAACTACTCAGCAGGCTGAAACAAGAGGATCACTTGAGCCCAGGAGTTTGAGGTTGCTGTGAGCTAAGATGCCACTGCACTCTATCCAGGGCTACAGAGAGTTAGACTCTGTCTCAGAAAAAAGAAAAAAAACACTTATGAAATTATAGTAATCAAGACAGTATTGGCATAAAGATAGACAAACAGATCAATGGCACAGAATAGATAGTCCAGAAATAGACCTAGGTATATATGGTCACTGCCTTCTGATAAATTACCAGGTAATTCTGCAGCTAGGAAGGCCAAGCTGAAAATAAGCCTAGGATCTGTTTATAACAGTGGCAATAATGCAAAGGAAACCAATTGTGCAGCCTCAACAGGACCAGTCAGGGTTCAGACTGGCAAAGAGTAGATCCCAAGACCTGTTCTGTGTCACAATATGTCTACAGGAACCATTACTCACCATCATGTTGGTCAATCATATTGATGACAAATGCTAACTGTACCCAGTGAGTGCAAGTGACAAGGATCAGAGGTGTCCTAGTAAGACATCTTACTGAGGCAATACATAATTCTAAAAACTCAAGGACTTGTCAAACTGATGAAGTTTCAGGGGGCTCCAATGGTCTGGGGCATTGTGAGGACACCACCCAAAGGTAAAGGACAAGTTGTTTCACCTTGTTTCCTCTAATCCCTAAAAATTGGCACGGTGCTTGGTGGGCCTCTTTGGATTTTGGAGGCAGCATATGGGAAAATTGTTCAAACCCCACACATCAGGTGACCTAGCAGACTTCAACTTTTCAATAGGGCTCAGAGCAAGACAGGGTTCTAGAGTAAGTCTAATCAACAGTGCAAGTTTACTTACAAATACAATGTTTCCAGAAATATCTCTGGTGGATACAGATTCTGTGTGGAGTCTCTGGCAAACCCCAATAGGAGAGTGTATTAGTTTGCTAGGACTGCTGCAACAAAGTATCACATACCAAGCAATTTAAACAACAGAAATTTATTGGCTCACAGGCTGGAAGCTAATAGTGAGAAATAAAGATGTGGTTCTTTCTGAGGGCTATGAAAAAGAATCTGCTCATGCCTCTCTCTTAGCTTCTGGTGGTTAGCTGGCAGTCTGGCATTCCTTGGCTTTGTAGAAGCATCTCTTTAATCTTTGCCTTCAAATTCACTTCATCTTCTCTCTGTGTGCTGTCTGTATCCAAATTTCCCCTTATATAAGGATTACAGCTCACATGCAGGTGCCTTCCAAAAAATATAGAAAATAAAAATAAATAAGAATTTCTTTAAAAAAGATAACATATCAGGGACCCATCCTACTCCAGTAGAAACTAATCATAAGAAATTACTTCTGGGCTCGGCGCCTATGGCTCAAGTGGCTAGGGCGCCAGCCACATACACCTAAGGTGGCGGGTTCGAATCCAGCCCGAGCCCGCCAAACAACAATGATGGCTGCAACCAAAAAATAGCCAGGCGTTGTGGCGGGCGCCTGTGGTCCCAGCTACTTGGGAGGCAGAGGCAGGAGACTCACTTGAGCCCAGGAATTGGAGGTTGCTGTGAGCTGTGATGCCACAGCACTCTACCCAGGCGGACAGCTTGAGGCTCCTGTCTCAAAAAAAAAAAAAAAGAAAAGAAAAAAGAAAAGAAATTACTTCTGCAATGATCCTATGCTCAAATATATGATTACATTCTGAGGCGTTAGGAGCTAGGAGTTGAACACACAAATTGGGGTGGGCAGGGGTATAATTCAACCCATAACAAAGAGTCATGGCACAAAAAAATAAGATTCTGAAGCAAATACATGCCTTATAAGGCAAAACAAAACACAACCTTCCATTTAAACAAGGCTCTGGTGTGCTAACAAGCTTCACAGAGGCTAAAAGTTTGACCCTGGACAATTTTTTTTGACTATGTAACCTGAGCTACCTATCATGACCTGTGTGTTTTTAGATACACCAAATAATAAGGTACAGCAAGTACCTTATTACTTGGCAGAAATCCATTGTGTGAAGGAAGTAGTATATTTGGGGTCTGGCTTAAAAAGGTTAAGAGGGCACAAGTAAGTCATGTGAATAAGTAACCCAGACTCCCATGTCCTTTACCTCTACCCCAATGCCACCTCACCCATAATTTAAATCTATGGCCTTATAAAAGTTCCCTACAACTAACTAATGGAAACAGAGGAGTCCTGGATCTCTTCACAGAGGGGTCAGTTCCATATCTTGTCATTATCCAGAAACAGATCACACCTTTATTATAGCCCCTCACTCAGGGTTTTCTCTGAAGCACAGTGGTGAAGAAAAATTCTCTCACTGGGCAATGGTACATTTGGCCATCCATATTGTATTTCAGAGGAGGTAGCCTACGGTACAGATATGCATTCACTCCTGGGCAGTAATGAACAGCTTAACTTATTGGTCAAGGGCCATCCAGTGCTTATGCAATAGGCTCATGAACAGGGAGACCATGAAAGCAGATACAGAGTATGGTCCCAACAATATGGACCACCACTTACCAAGGGTGATATAAATCCCTCCACTGTGGAGTGTCAAGCCTATCAGTATTAGAGACCAACACTGAGCGTTGGGGATATCTGCTACCACCTGGTTAAGTGCATCAACTTACCTAACCTTAGAAGAGGCAGCAATTTGTACTTAACAGAACTGATACATGCTGTAAATACAGGCTTTCCTTCCCTGACTGCTTTGCCTCCAACAGCACCACCTGAACACCCATATCACTTACCTCTGCCCCACTGTTACCTCACCCATAACTTATAATTATGGCCTTACAACTAATCTGTAAGCCTGAGGGTTTACAGGACGCCTTATCCATTGACATATCTTAAACTAAGAAACCCATTTGATAGTCAGTATGACAATAAACTATAGAATTCATGGTACTTACTCATTATCCAGAAGCAGCTAGCCAGAAATAACTTAAGAATGGTCTACCAAAGACTCAACTAAAATGCTGGCTACAGTACAATGTCTTGCAAAGTTAGGGAGCTGTCCTTCGAGATACAATATATGCATTGATATGCATGGGACCAATAAGGATATATAGTATTGTGTCTCCAACAGAAAGACTACATGTGTACAGAAACCAAGGGCTTGAAACAGGGATGCCCCCATTACTGTTGCACCTAGTAACCCATGTGTAGAATTTGTGCTTTCTAGTTCCAAAATCTAGAGTCAACTGGGTTATAGTCCTCATCCCCAGGAAGAACATTTCCTCTGGTACCCACATTAAGTATTCCACTAAACTGGAAACAGAATACCACCAGGCCACTTTGAGTTTCTTGTGCCAGTAGATCAGTAGGCAAAGAAAAGAGTTATTATGGAGATCCCCACAGTACCTGCCTCACACATTACATAAATACAAAAACATATACCCAGCTAGCTGCATTCAGTAACCTACCTTCTTGAACCCTTGAGGCATTTCAGTGAAGGAATGGAGACAGGAGGTGGGGAGGAGAGACTGGTTTAGATAAAGAAGAAAAATACGGCTCGGCGCCTGTGGCTCAAGCGACTAAGGCGCCAGCCACATATACCTAAGGTGGCGGGTTCGAATCCCCAGCCCGGGCCCACCAAACAACAATGATGGTGGCAACCAAAAAATGGCCAGGCGTTGTGGTGGGCGCCTGTGGTCCCAGCTACTTGGGAGGCTGAGGCAGAAGACTCATTTGAGCCCAGGAGTTGGAGGTTGCTGTGAGCTGTGATGCCATGGCACTCTACCCAGGGGGATAGTTTGAGGCTCCGTCTAAAAAAAAAAAAAGAAGAAAAGAAGAAAAATACAATGCACAATAATTCTCTTAGAGATGACTTGGAATACTGGAAGAAAATAGGATGTATCTGGAGGAATAAGTTCTGAGAATGTGATGTCATCAAGGAGTTAGAAAGCCAGCTTTAGGAGTGAAGACACACTCAAGTGGATGACTGGAAAGACTTATGGGGAAGTAAGACAAAAACTAAGAAATGGGACTTTAGCCACAGCTTAGAAGATAATTCAGGATACCAACTAGTCATGGGTAAGCTCTATAACGGGTGGCTTTTCCCTTGGTGAGCTCTGCCACAAACTTGTCTCAGAACAGAGAGTCATGTCACAGCCATTCAAGGTTTCAGTTATTGTTTTATAAAAAGTATTCCTGGGGTGGCTATTATGGCTCAAAGGAGTAAGATGCCAGCCCCATATGCTGGAGGTGGTGGGTTCAAACCCAGCCCTGGCCAAAAACTGCAAAAAAAAAAAATTCTGACCTACTCAGGAAGTAATGGTAAAAGCCATAATTATTATAATAACACATTGACAGCAAAAATGCCTCAAATTCAACTTACTGTACTAATTTCAGTATCATTACCCAGAAAACTCCCTGGAAACATTAGCCAAGCTCAGACAGAATCTTATATCTAGTGTTGGAAAGAACGTTTGTTGCCCATAAACCAAGTATTCTAAAATACTGTCCATTCAACTGTCAGTGCAAAAATATCAGGGTCCAAGAGAAGCAACCACATAGGTTTATGAGATCTTTTATGTTTGATCTTCCTCTGTCTACACCTTTGTTTCAGTTCTTCTGCCACAGACACACAATCGCTAAAATATTTCTGTTGTTTGATAGTAAGTATAACCATTACAATTATTGCCATCGATAATAAAAATAAAAGAAACACAAATGTGTGAGTAGGGCAGAATGAAGGGAAACCTCCTCTCCTTCTCCCCTCCCCGGGTGCATCCTTACAGCCAACAAGTACAGGAGTGAGATGCCCCCAAAGGACACTGCGACTTGGGAACAGGGACACGAAGTCCTCCCGCGTCCTAGAGAGCACTCTCAAGGGAAGCTCTGTCCGGGAAGGCGAGTGTGACGCACTTCCTGCTCTTGAGAAGCCCAGTCTGGACGGCCGGATGGTGTGAGTCTGAGTACAGTGCACTTCGATTCCCCAAGTAACACCTCTTTTCTATCCGAGCACCCCAGACTTCTCTGAGTTTCACGGTGAGACGTGGGTGCTACCGGGGAGCACGGGAGGGGACAAAGGTGGATGTGTGCGGCAGTGCTCCGCTGTCCCTCTCTCCAGGATGCCCCTGAACGGGGATGAACGGGGGTCCATGTCCTCATGCCTCGGAGGTAGGACACGTTGTGTCCCAGCAGAGACATCCCTGGATTCAGGCGGGAAAGGAACAAAGTTTCGGTTTGCGCACTGGAATGGATGCTCCTGAGACTGGGAAGCTCACGTTGCCTTCTGGGTCCCCAGTCCTTGGTTTTCACCCCGAAGTAGTCGCGGAGAAAGTGACCCTACTCCAATTCTTGTGTTCACTACTCGTCCCCATTTGTTTTCTTTCTGGTGAGGGCTTTTTTTCCGGCTTCCTAGGGCTCCTGAGTTGTTAAAATTCGGGGGACCTTAGAGAAAACCAAATTTCACGGGCTTTTTTTTTTTCAGTTGGACAAGCTTCTTAAGTGTCCGCAGATATCTGTTCACCCTCAAACCACCACCATTACGGTGTAGATGAGTGTGTGTCTGCCTATTGAATAAAGAAGTGATTTGGATGCAAGAGGAAGAGATCATACACATGTCACCCTTTTTCTTTCATTTTCTGGAGTTGATAGACTTTTAAAAGGAGTAGTTGTGGACATGGGGAGGGTTCAGTTGTGGGAAGTGACTTTGCTTAACTTGGAGAGGTGAGTAGTGAAGGAAGATTGTGGGTGATGCAGTGGAAAGCGGGTTGGGCCATTAGGAGGCCAGTTAGGAGCACCCTCTGCCACTGATAAGCAGGATGTTCTTTGAAGAAACATAGACCCTTCAGGTCTCAAATTTGTCATAAATAAAATAGGCTATCTTTTTTTTTTTTTTTTTTTTTTTTTGGTGACAGAGCCTCAAGCTGTCCCCCTGGATAGAGTGCTATGGCTTCACTGCTCACAGCAACCTCCAACTCCTGGGCTCAAGCAAGTCTCCTGCCTCAGCCTCCCAAGTAGCTGAGACCACAGGCGCCCGCCACAGGGCCTGGCTTTTTTTTTGGTTGCAGCCATTATTGTTTGGCGGGCCTGGGCTGGATTCGAACCTGCCACCTTAGGTGTATGTGGCTGGCGTCTTAGCCACTTGAACCACAGGCGCCGAGCCAATAGGCTATCTTAAGGGCCCTTCCAATTTTGGAATTCAACGGTAGACTTAATTTAAACAAAAAAATTAGCTGGGCAAAACCTAATGCCCTACCCGCATTTCCTGCTTTTCCACCAGCATACAGAAAGTTACTTCCATTATTGAGAATGGCTAAGTGACAGATAATCAAAGAAAACATTATATAGGGCTCGGTGCCTGTGGCTCAGGTGGCTAAGGTGCCAGCCACATAGACCTAAGGTGGAGGGCTGGAATCCAGCCCGGCCGCCAAACAAGGATGGCTACAACCAAAAAATAGCCAAGTTTTGTGGCTGGTGCCTGTGGTCCCAGCTACTTGGGAGGCGGAGGCAGGAGTCTCGCTTGAGCCCAGGAGTTGGAGGTTGCTGTGAGCTGTGATGCTACGGCACTCTACCCAGGGGGACAGCTTGAGGCTCTGTCTCAAAAAAAAAAAAGAAAGAAAGAAAAGAAAACATACAGACCAGTGCTAAGTAGATCATAGGCAATTAATTAACAAATGTGGAGAATACATTGTAAGCAGATCAATGAAACCTTACTATTTGCCAGGGAAATAGGTTGGTTACACAGGGAGGTATAATGGGAAACATTTATATAAATTACCCTTGGACATAAACTTTATTGTATATTTTAAATCTATACCAGTATATAATACACGTCTCATTCTTACTCAGATGTTTTGCAAATCTGACAATTGTATTATAATGAAATCTCTTAATTTATAAATAACATGTCCTTCCAAGTACTGAAATTATAGGCCTGTGATGAATTTGTTGAACTTTCCTCCAAATGAGCAGGAAAAGTCTGTTATTTCATTGACAAATTTTTTTTTAATTTCTGCTCATTGCAGAGAACTATGTTAAGTGATTTACAGGCAACAATGAATGCAAAAGACGATCTTTAAGTAGTAGTCTAGCTGAGATAACGCATGAAGGTGTTATAAATTAAATTCTAGGGCAAGAGCTGTCAAAATATATATCAAACAAGTAGTGGAGACAGTGAGTCTAAAGTCAAGAGAGGACTGGGTACTGGGAGCACTCAAAAAATTTAACAAAACCCATTTACACTTACCCTGAGTTGGAGCAGGGTAATACTCTACGAGGGACTGCCCAATTCAGAGAATAGTAACTATGCTCCTGACCGCAGCTCTGTCTCTTTCAGTTTTATCTCCTCTTTGGATTCCCTTTATTCTGATTTATACTGCTACAGTGAGGGATAGAATGGAGTTTTACCAGGAGCTATATCACTAAAAATGAAGGGAAATAAGCACAGAAAATATAATAGTTGGGAGATTAGGATAAAAATGGCAATACAAATGATGACAAAAACTACAGATGCTGTAAGGTGGGACAAAAAAATTAGAGCTGTGTGGAAGGGCTTAATGGGCTTCAAGAAGGGGTAGAATTTTTTTTTTTTTTTGAGACACAGCCTCAAGCTGTCCCCCTGGGTAGAGTGCCATGGCATCACAGCTCACAGCAACCTCCAACTCCTGGGCTCAAGCGAGTCTACTGCCAAGTAGCTGGGACCACAGGCGCCCACCACAACACCCAGCTAGTTTTTTTTTTTTTGGTTTCAGCCATCATTGTTGTTTGGCGGCCTGGGCTGGATTCAAACCCACCACCTTAGGTGTATGTGGCTGGCGCCTTAGCCACTTGAGGCACAGGCGC